TGACCTTGAAGGATTACATCATAAAATGGCGTGTTTTAGCTTTATCCATATGATTGAAGCAGACGTGGCTGAAATCTTTGGCTTCCATAAGCTGTACAAACTTGAGAGTTTTAGATCTATTGTGACATCTTGAAAAAAATAAAGTGTACAGCTCTTTCCTGCACTTTCACACGACATATGACTTGATATGGTTTCTTTAAATGTTTTTTAGTTCGCCTTAGCCAACCTAAGTATTCATGTTACCCAAGGCCTAGTCTGCTACTGTGAAGTTTGAAAACAATACATAACTAATTGTGGGTAATGAAAGTTTTTACTGATTTTCATATTTGGTGCAACCAAACCTGATGTTCACCAAAACTAAATGAGCTTGAGCCGTTATCGATCATCACAGAGAATTTGAAGCTGACATCTTGGAAACTGGACTGTGGACAAACTAACAGAACCGATTACAAACTCCCTCTGTGGCTCCAGTGGCCAGCAGACCGGGTATACTGCACAGTCTGTACACGGCCTCCAGCCACAAACACACTCTACAGGGAGATTGCTTTTGCGCTAACCCACTGAACCATAGTCCAGACTGTGGTTGAGTACCAGAGTTCAGGCTGGGCTGTAAAATAAAAGGTGGTCATACCACATACTGACTTTCAAACATATTACACCTTACATACTGTATTTCCATGTGTATCTGCACATTTCAATAAACCGCTACATCTATTTTCCTGGCAAAATGTAAACAAACTGGGGTGGCTGTTGAACAGTATTGTAACATAAGATATTTTATTGGAGTATTATGAGTTGTGCACAAACTGTTTCAGATTTCTCTTTTCCATTAGGATTATGGACTTATGGTGTGTGTGAGTGTGTGTACCTGAGTCGCAGCTGTTGAAGATTCTGCAGTTCTCCCAAAGCACTGGGTAAACTACTCAACTGGTTGTCATGTAGCTGCCAAAACAAAAGTTGACATTTTTTGTTTATTAGCTGGATTTCAAGTCATAATTTTCACAGATGAAAACAGAAACTGCATTTCCTCTAATCAGAACTTGAGGCTAGTTTTAAATTCTGAGACAATTGCCCATACAGTCCTGTTTACAGCCTGGTACAATAAAACAGTTTTGATCTTTGCTGGTAGCTTTCATGCACTGTATCACAAGTAGTTAGAAAGCACTAAGTATAGAGACAGTGCTTGTGAGCATTGGTGTGATTGGGTGAATGTGGCATGTTGTATAGAGCGCTTTGAGTGCTCCGGGAGAGTAGAAAAGCGCTACATAAGAATCAGTCCATTTAAAAACAGAAATATATGTTGGAAACATTTTCAGATTAAAAATGTTTCCATGTCAAATTCTAATCAGCTTTTGTTCAACATAGTTTTACTGCATTGTTAGGTTAGTTGAATGTATTGTCTCTGACTAACACAGCATTAGCAATTAGCTCATTATTGAGGGGAAGAAAAAAAACCCCAAAACATGAGAACCCCCCCCCAAAAAAAGAGCAAACACCACACACACACACACACACACACACACACACACACACACACACACACAAATAATAGACATACACTCAGCTAGCTTGTTGATTGGGGCTTCTACTACTTACATCCAGTGTAGTCAGTCCAGGCAGCAGTCTGATGTCATCTGACAATAATGTAATCTGATTGGATGAGAGCAGTATTTTTGTGAGGTCTGTCTGCTCCCACCAGCGATCTGCTGCTCCAAAGGACACATTCTGCTGGGCCTCCTCTGGTGTGTCGATGTTTAGACGATAGACGTTCTGGGGAACTGAGCCACGTGTTAGTAGGGTTTCTACGCAGTATTGGTGACATTAAATTCGTTTCATGTCCTGGAGACTCAAGCCTAATTTTTACTTGCCTAACCCCAACCATAACACTTTTTCATTCATATAACTGGCCTACAACATGAAAGTAAAAAAAGGATTATGCTCCCATGATGATAATAATAATAATAATAAAAATAATAGTAGTAGTAAGAAAAAGTGGTGCCTGTAGCTCACAAGGTAGAACAGGTCATCTACTAAGGTTGAAATTCGATCCCTGGCTGCTCCCATGCCAAATATCCTTGGGCAAGGTTTAACCCTGTGTGCTCTCCGATGAATCCATCAGAATATGAATGCGTGCAAATGTTAGAAAGCGCTTACTTAGACAAACCATAAACCTATGCTTGTGTGAATGGATGAATGAGGCAAGTTGTATAAGCATGAATAAAGGCCATTTACCATTCACCTGACACAACAAAGGCCAGTGTAATTTTTTTGTGGAAAGAGACCATTGCCATGAAGGTATGCACAACATGGTACTAGTCACAAAGTAACAAAGCCAATAAATTCCTGGACCCCAGGTTTCATCTTAACCTTTGCAACAGCAACAAGAACAATAAACTTTGTCCGGCTGGGCCTACCTTTCAGAAGGTCGCCACAGTGGATCTGCCTCCATCTCACTCAGCATCCTCTGCCATACCAACCCTCTACATATCTTCCTTTACTACATCTATAAAGCTCTTCCTTCTGCCTGGCAGCTCCATCTTCATCATCATCCATCAAATATATACACACACTATTCCTTCTCTGCACATGTCCAAACCATTTCAGCCTTATCTGTCTGAATTTGTTAGCTAACTTTTTTTTTTTTTAAATTGCTGTTGCTTTCCTAACAGGTCAAAGTGTTGTGACCATTCTCCTCTGATCTCTGGCATCAACAAAGCATTTTCCCCCAGATAACTGCTGCTCACCAGACATTTCTCTTTTTCAGACTATGCTCTGTAATCCCCGGTGATGGTTGTGCAGGAAAATCCCAGCAGATCAGCAGTGTCTGAAATACTCACCAGCCAGACTGGCACCAACAATCCTCCCACTTTTAAAGTCATTTAGATCCCCTTTCTTCCCCATTCTCATACTCTATTTATACTCAGGTCGTCTTAACCCTGTCTACATGAATAAATGGGTCGCTGCCATGTGGCCGGTTGATTACATGATTACATTAACAAGCAGTGTAGATTAAGCAGAGAGACTTACACTGGCGTAAAATATACTTTTTGGAAACAGGCAGGATCATATGTCAGTGTTCAAATATGGGAATATCAAGGTTCAGTTTGTTCAGTCAAAATATATACTGAAAGAAGTCCAGCGAGGAAGAAAACGTGTAGTCATATTATTATTATTATATATTATAATATGTTAGGTTACTTTTTTTTTTTATTAAATCAATGGCAGATCTGGTCTTTTAGTGGTGCTGTATGTGTGAGCTAACATAAAATTACCTTCTTTCAGTCCTCGGCCGGACAGGTTGAGCTGCCCGCTCTTCCGGGCCGCCTTCAGCAGGCCGTACGGAACAGTCGGCTCTGCCGTTTGCACCTTAAAGCCCGCCAGAGAATCCTTACACCCCCCTTTGAATCGAGACATGGTGAAATAAACCCGCGTTGAACTCAGCTGATGTTTAACCTCAGCACCTCACCCACCCACAGCCTTCCGCCAAAAGTAAAAGCGTTTCCGTTTACGATCCTTCAGAATAAAAGTCCTTTATTCACACTTTGTCTTCTAATCAATCGATTTATGTGGCATAAGAAAGAAAATATCCTTTAAACACGAACAAGGGATCTTTAAAACTTAAAAAATGACGAACCAAACTCTGGCTTGATGTGGTCTTGGAAGTATTTCGCACACTCAGGTTACACACGCTGTCATATCAAAGAGTTCAACAGGGGGCGCTAAATGTTCAGGAGTTCAGCTCCAGCTGCAGTTATATTGCATCAAAGCATGGCCAGGTCTCTCTTCAAAAAGACATTTTTAATGTCAACAAGACTTTTTAACTGGACAAATAAGCAATATATACAAGTCACTTTGCCAAAAAACCTGATTACAGCTTCTACCTTGTGGCAGAAATGTTGTTTGTGACTTGATGTCATTCATGAGGGATGGATTTGACATGTTTCACATATTAAAGACAACAAATTATTTTCAGCAGTTTAAATACTGGAAATCGCTTTTTGGCACAAACAATCTGAAAAGCACAAGAGCACCAGTGATACCCCACTTCAGAAACATCTGTGCTTTGGGAGCTCGACACAGTGAGGAAACGTCAGCATCAAAACCCCCATCCCTGGTCTCAGGTTCAAAGCCACCATCTAGCTTTCCATCATGATCTGATTTTTCTGTGTGGAGTTTGCATGTTCTCACCGTGGGTCTCTCCAGCGTGGGTTTTCTCTGGAGCTTCCTCCCGAGGTAATTAGAGTTAGGTTAGATTAATGACTCTAAATTGCCGGCAGCTGTGCTACAGTTTGTACTTTGCCTCTCATCACATAGCAGCTGGGATAAGCTCTGAGACTCTAAGATAGATGTACACACGGTGTATACATCCATCCACAAAGGAAATATCCTAATAAAAATTCAATAATGTTTTTGAATGATCGAATCAGACATTAGATTGAAAACAGAGAGCCCAAAGTTTATTTATGAGTTCAAATCTAATTTCTTCGAGTTCATGTTAAATTTACCATCAGGACACAGACATGTCGGCACACTGAAGATTTTCTCAGCAACTTTAATGTTGAGCAAAGCAATTCTCAGTAGGCAACTTCCATAAAAATGGCACACCTTTTTTTCTTGTCCTCTGCTTTCCTTTGCTTACCTAACTCCTACTTGTTTCATTCTCTTAAATAGCCTACCCAGATTATTATGTTAGTGGAGAAAGAAGCGCTTTTGTTTGTTTGTTTGTTTTTTTGCCCAGAATGCCACTTGGATAATCTAGGCTCAGCAATCAAGTTAAACTGCTGCTGTTAAAGCTATAAAATATTTCAGTATATTCAGATTCTTTGTAATGGCCCTGTGATTTTTACTCAGCAGTGCTCGCCTAATTAACTATTGCCCCTTATGAGGCCTGTGGCTGTACATGAACCACGTGAAAATGCTGAAATGTAATAGCACAACAACTTTCTGTGATATTATCTGTGTGGACTGTGAACTTTGACCCCAGTTAGTGTTAGGTGCATGTGTTTTCTCAGAAAGTCAGGTGAGTTGGAGTCCCATTTCTAGTGAGTCGTTGGATCGACTTGGTCTGAATTCACAATGAAAATATTTTTGTCATGCGTGCTGCTGTGTGCCACCATCTGCTTAGCTGACAGAGGTAAAACATGTCCCGCCTTCTGTTTGAATTCATATGTAATTCTGTATTTCTTACTACAAACAAGTGTGGGTTATATCGTCTTGCTGTCTACACATATGTGCGTCGGTGTGTCTGATTTTCTTTTATCTGCTATACTGTTTACAGCTCAGACGTTAGGTCATTGTTTAGTTACTTGATTTATTTTAACCTGGTGTCCTTAAACGCTAAAATGCTTGTTCTTGTGAAACACTAATCTGTCTAACTATGGCACTTTGTGGTACCATAAAATGTGTTTTCTTTGTTACTCAACTTTGTTTCCATATTTTGTTCATTAATGATTGAAGATGTCACATATGAGACCCTTGTTGCAGTGCGGTGTGAACCTGTAGGAACAATTATTCCTACAAACTGCTTCCACCAGGTTACATATAATTACCAGGTCTATCGAAATGAATAGAATGTAAACGCTGTCCTTCGGACTCGCTCCGTTTTTGATAAGGAGCAGTTCTGAGCCTAACGTCAAATTTTAAAAAATGATTATGTCATTAAAAACATACAAATTAATTTAAATCGGTTTATTTACAGTTATGCATTGATATCACAAATGTCATTATAATTCTCTGCACACACTGAGGACTCATCTTCCTTTTACAGACAGAAGCACCCATACTTTAAACTATGATGTTAAACAATCAGTTTAAGCTTATGGTAGACCCAAGTTTAGAGTAAGCATTTAGGGTAAGGTTTACAGGAAATCTGTGCAAAGTGCAATATCATCTGGTGATTAGAACCCCCCCCCCCCCAATAATAATGCAAGTCTGTGTGTGTGCAGGTGTTCAAAATGGCATGAGAGCAGCAGAAGGATCCAAGCCAGTGTCCCTTCAGCCCTGGCTACTCGGCCTGACAGCTGTTGTGGGTTTCCTTCTCCTTGTCTTCATTATTCTGGTTATTCAAAGACTACTTAAGAAAAGGTTTGTTTTAGGGAAAAAAGAGGAAATATGAAATATATGAAATCTCATGTAGCAAAAATGAATGCAAGCATAGCTTACTTTATAAACAATACTAATACTACTACTACTACTGATAATAATAATGGATTGCATTTATATAGCGCTTTTCAAGACCCTCAAAGCGCTTTACAATTCCACTATTCATTCACTCTCACGTTCACACACTGGTGGAGGCAACGGTGATGAGCGATGTCACAGCATATAAACCAAACCTCACAATTAGTCAGTATTTTTAGGGTAGGGTTAAAGTTCATTTATTTCTAGGCAGAAGCACAGTGTGCTGCACGAGCACAAACTACCATAGTGATTGCATAGATAATGTATAAAACGATGTAAAAACTGAATTACCACAATACGAAACAGCAATAAAAAGTAAACACAAGAGCAAAAACAGTAAAACCTCTCTAGCAGGAAGAAGCTAGCCCCGTTGCCTAGAGCAAGGAGGCCAACGCCCACACACACACACACACACACACACACACACACACACACACACACACACACACACACACACACACACAGATCAAAGAGTGAAAAGGTAGAACCATTGCAGACACAGTGCAGGTGCATTTCTCTAGTGTCTAAAACCTTTACTGGGAAAAAGCTAGCAGGCACCTGATAAACAAACTTTGACTTGAAGAAGCAGCTGTACTTCATCCATGGCGATTTGTTTTACACAACAACAAATCAATAGAAAATCTACTGAAATGAAAATAAAATATGCTGATGAACTGTGAACCTATATGATGTTTATGCCAGGAGCTCAAGCCCTCTGGGTGTGCTAGACCATCTTTATTTCGAAGCTTTTGTAACATTATTTTTTAAATGAATTAAGTTGCTTAATGGCATGCACCTAACACTAATAGCCTTCCTGTACCTTCTTCCCAATTTTCTTTAATTAATTCCAACAACCTTCATGGCTTCCTGCCAAACAGCAGCTCAAAGGGAGAAAATCCTGCAGGGTCCTGCAGCACCTCAACGGCACCTCACAACCACAATAGTGGGTCTAGCCAGTGATGCCAATTGTGTTCATCCTTGTAAATGAACCTACGAGTCGTAGACTTTAAAGTCTTCTTCATATGCCCCACTAACCTGTCAGTGCGCAAGTGATAGACGCTGGTCCGAACAGACTTTTAGTCCAATAATTCATAGTGTTCTTTTAAAGTGTGAGACAAGGTGCCGTGGTCCATCTGTATCTCTGTTGGGATGCTGACTCAGGAGGTGAACTAAAACAGCATCTGTGCTACACTCCTTGCAAAAATGCTAAGCAGCAGCGCTGCTTTGAGACATCTCACTGCATAATCCACAAGAACTAAAACAAAGTGATATCCCTCTGAGCAGCACAGACATCACATGTCATTGCCCATCATGCCATTGCCCATCAGTTTGTTAAACCTAGTCCAATCTGGCACATCCTTTAATCAGAATTAAGGGACGCAGAGAGAAACAGGTTACTAGGATATGAACAGGGCAGCTCCTCTCCCTCAGGTGGTGATGGAGGGTCTCCTCTTTGGGGCAAGGAGCCATGGTCTTGCCACCATTGGCTGAGGGCTCCCTGGTGGATCCTCTGAGCACGCCTGCGTCTTGTGGCCTCGGTCTGTAGCATCTCATCTTGTTGCTGATGCACTGCCTCAATCTCCTGATGCAGAGTGGGCAGCTCCTCAACCATCTTCACCGGTACCTGGACTGCGTGTATGGGCTACGCTTATTTACAAAGGCTTTTTCAGGCCTCAGTAGCCGCCTTCATTTTGTCTCTGTCTCTCAATGCCAGCCCAGTGTTGTCCTCCCTCTGCCAGGCTCCAGCGTGCTACTGAAATAGGTAAGGCATGATTAGACCATCGTTGACAGCTGGGTCAGTCAGCCTCCCCTGGCAGTGCCCCTGAAACCACTGTACCACTTCTCCCCTGCAGCTAAGCCACAGACCACATCCTCCCTCCACAGCAACAATGGAAACTGTACTTCTGCATTACAATTACCAGTTAACTTGGTGGTGAAATTAATAACCTTGTTTTTCTTTAAAAATATCTAGCATTCACATCCATTAGACATAAATTTGGATGCACTTTCTTACATTATGAAGTCACTCACGGTATTCAAAGGTAGCTACAGGTAAAAGCGATTATACAAATAACCTGTCTGATCATCACTGTCTTTTTTCTGCAGGGAGGATGGTTATGACGAGCCAGCAGGGGCGGATGGAGTTGAAATTCATCAAACCAGTCTGTAGCTGTTCATGACCAACTGAAGAGCACGATTCTGCTAAATCACACTCACTCACTTGTTTTTATTTAATAAAGTTATCATGGTCATATTTAGTGAATATTGCTATAAATCGAGTTTTTAAGTTGGTGGTTGAGCAAATATCAGAAAATATCAGCAAAGACAAAAAGCGTTTCTGCACTTTTTCTCGCAAAACATGTCTGTGAGCTAAATAAAGAGTTGCTGCATTTTCCAGCGAGAGGAAAAAATCATTCATGTGCAAAACTGACAGATGGAGAAAGATGTAAGAAAGACAGGAAACTGGAGGAAGGTGAGATTATTTGCAAAGCCAAGAACTGTTCTGGAAAACTGGAAATTTAAATCCTACATGTAGTGTCTTAATTCATTTTAGAGTTATTTTATATCAAATATTTGATCAATATAGAATCTGTTGCTGAATTATAAATTATGTTAAACATTTTACAAAACAAATTAAGTTTTGATTTGTGTTGTATTTGCAACATCAGGCATTTATTTACATTTTGCTCTTTAAAAATAAATGTTGCAATTTACTTTGGGTTTTTTCTTTGCAAATAAAATAAAACAAAATATGATATATTTAGTTTTAAAGGTTATGTTTACAATGATGCACTAGGTCTGGTTGGTTACTGGTTTATTGGTTAACCAGAGCTACTGGAGCTCACACCTGACGTACCAAATCCCAGAATAAATGAAAGAAGAAGAAGTGGTGTGATTATGTTGTTTTTCCAATATCCTGTCGTCTTTTTATTTTTTATGCATCCCTACATAAAGCTGTGCTTTTAAATAATTTGTATCCTTCATAAATGTATTTGAGAAAATATATGCATGTTGATCAAGAATCAAAAAAAATGATGGAAACAAAACTTGTCTGTTAGTAAAACTTACACAGTATTTGGGAAGAAGAACCTCATACCAACAGTCAGATCTGGTGATTGTGTCATGGTTGTGGGTTGCTTTGCTGCTTCAGGACCCGGACGACTTGCTGTGAATAATGAAACCATGAATTCTGCTCTCTACCAGGAAATCCCGAAGGAGAATATCTGGGCTTCAGTTCATGCCCTGAAGCTTAAGAGCAAGACAATGATTCAAAATACACCAGCAAGTCAATCTCCAAAAAACTCCAACGTGACTAAATAAAAACATTTTGGCAAAGAATAGTGGTTCCGCATTTTTCCAAAATGATGTGAAAGACTCATGGCCAGTTAGCACAAAGGCTTAATTACAGTTTTTGCTGCCAAAGGTGGCACAAAACATTATTAGATTTAGGGGCAGGTACTTTTTCACAGCACTGTATGTGTGTTAATGTCAATGTCAGCAACATACCCGACATCCCTAAATACAGCAATTTAAAAAAAATAAATGGAAAAAACCCTAACAACAAATAAAATAAGTTTCTTTCCAGCAATTATGCCACTGATATATAAACAAGCCTCATCCACAGAAAAACCCCCACTTTTGTACAGAAATGCGATTGTAGATGGACATAAAAGTATCTGTAGGAAGGTAAACTCAAAAAGTTACTGTAGAGAAGCTGAATCTGTTTAAAGTTGTTAACCAGTAACGTCAGCTACAAACCACAGCAGTGAGCTTCCTGTTCCTACTGCAAACTCAGTTATTCAGCGCTGTCATCTATGCACATTATATGTCTCTAATCCATAAAGAACTATTTTTATTCACTAGATCAATCCATCCATCGACAGGACTCTGAAACGTCTCTTTTCTTTGAACCGCTCCCTCCTTATCACAGTCACCATAGTGGAAAAAAAAGTGGTAAGAGGGCACAATGGTGGCAGGAGTGGACCAGTGGGAGCTAAAAATGCTACAGATATAAATACATTTAACACATTTTGAGCTATGCTATTCAAAAGATAACCAAACAACATATTATTCCAAATTCAGTATTGTGGATGCTGGCAGATCCCCCAGAGAGGAAGAGGAAGAGTTGTTTGAAAACCTTCAGGTATTGGCAAAATTGGGCCTCGAGGCCCGGTGTCCTGCTGGATCCATCACAGCTGATTCAAATGGCTAAATTACCTCCTCAACATGTCTTGAACTAATGAACTAATCATTTGATTCAGGTGTGTAGATCCAGAGTACTATTTAAAACCTGCAGGACACCGGCACTCGAGTCCTGGAGTTGGCCAAGCCTGATCTAGAGTAATGTTGTTTAAAGCAGCACTGGAAACATCCAGCAGGTGGTGCCAAAGCATTTAAGCCTTTTATAAGCTGTTAAATGGCTTCAGAGATCAAGAGCCCCATTGCCCTACATCTGTGTATCACGTACTGCTGCCCACTGTGCTTCACGAGCGCTGTTTTCCACTGTAGCTTGCTTAAGAGCTGGAATCACTGTCCCGAAGTGACTGTTTAATAGCAAATTTGTATTTACTTTAATAACTTAATAAGTTCCCCGTGATAACATCTGGTATGTGTATAAATCCACCCATCATCTTCTATTCATCCAGTTCAGGGTTGGGGGGACAGGAGCCTATCCCAGCTGTCACAGGGCAACAGTCTGGTTGACCTTGGGAAGTTGCTAGCCCGTTGCATGCATGTCTTTGAGAAGAAGATAGATGGACATGGGGGAAACAGACAAACTCCACAGAGAAAAGCCCCAGCCTGGATTTGAACCCAGAACCGTCCTGCTGAGTGCTAACCACCACACCAACATGCCACCCCACTGAATAAATAAATCAAAAACTGTCTGAACTTCACAAACTACAGTGCATGTGTATAGCCACTTCAGTTTCTGCTCAAATACAACCAAATATAAATCAAATATGTTTAATATATATCTATTAAATAAAATATATATCAATATGTTTGTTGTTTCTCTAGGCAGACGGCTGCCCCTCCCTAAACCTGGTCATGCTGAAGGTTCTTATAAAGTGTTTACTCACAGGACATCATCAGATTGTTGTTGGGGTGCTTTCTGTTTTAATTCAGTGTTCTTATATAAATGTATAAAGCACATTGAGATGAATGGTGCTGTGAATTGGAGCTATATAAATAAAACCAAATTGAACTGTGTATCCCAGCTATGCTGATTATATATAAGTATCGTGTTTAATGTGAATCATAAGATTACATTTTGTTGGACAACGATCATGAATGCAAGAAAGTAGAGCAGATTTTGAAGTCAAGAAAAGAGGCTTGTTCTGCTCTGTCATTCAGTAAGTGTGAGGTCTGTTCCGGGGTTTGGGTACTGGACTGTGTGTGTGTGTGTGTGCTTATTCTGACCTGTAATTTACTCCCTTTATGTCCTGTTGTTTTTGTGGACCAACAGTGCTGTGTTTATGCCTGATTTGCTGCATGTTTACACCTCTGAGGGAGGTTAATTGTCTAATTAAGTGAGGGGGTGGAACCTTAGAGATGATTGATTGAACTAGTAATTACAAGATTGTGTTTTAAATTTATGTGCATGTGTGTGGTGAGAGGTGGGCTGTTTCATACTGCTAAACCCTCAGTAAGTTTTCATCCTCTCTAGTATTTAAAGCAGTATTTAGGCATTTAAAGGGAAAAACTACTAAAAAGACCAGGGAAGAACAATAGTACCCTAAATAATAATGCCAGTTTAAGGCAAGCCTAAAACAGCAGTTTGACATTTGGTGGAGGAGTATTGACCTTCTCGTCAGTGGGCTGTGGTTGGCCTGATCTGGAGACCTCAAGCCCTCAGCTGTAAGGCTATAACTCTATGGGCTGACATAGACACTAAGTCAACCGCACTGTCACCACACCCTGAAAAACCACCCGTCCTCTAGACAAGGCAGCTCAGCAAAGGGCAGAGGTAGTACTGTAAATTGGTTAATTTACTTTAAAAGAAAATTGCAAAATCTTTCGAATACCCTGTGAAGGAAGTATGATTCGAAATGACATCCATCCATCCATCCATCCATCTATCTATCTATCTATCTATCTATCTATCTATCTATCTATCTATCTATCTATCTATCTATCTATCTATCTATCTATCTATCTATCTATCGAGACTGTGTGTGTGGTTGTAGGTGGGTGGGTGAGTGGCTGGGTACATTTAACCAAAACAGCAATTTTACTATAAGTTTTTTTCTGCTAAAACTGGTCTGTAGAGTTGTTGCAGCCCCCAGGTCTCCAAAATGGTTAGACCCTGTGTTCCTGGGAAGCCAGAAGCATTCGGCTGAGGTACAATACCAAGCAGTTCAGTTTGGCTCATTTATTTTTAATTGACATAACATTAGTTCATCAGCAGTCATCTCAAGATCAGCTATAAAGTAAGATAAAGAAAATGCCAATAACTAGACAAACTCTTATGAGGATGAAGTTCCTTTAACAGGAAGAAGACCTGTAAAGGGCTTTTCCACAATTGGTTGGACTTTGTGGACAGATAAAAAAGAAATGACAAATATAGAGACAAACAACTAGCAAGTGTGGCAACACAAAAGCACAGGGGAGAGCAGATCAAGACTATTAACACCTAAATGCACATAAATTCCTAAAGGGACAAAAATGCACGGGTGGTGAAAAGAGGGGAGTGGAGTAGAAAAACTAATAGTATGGTTTGAATGAACGCTTCAGAAACTGGCCCACGTACACTGGCCTTAGTGTGCTGGAGTCAAAGCTTCAAAGCCTGAGGGTCTGCTGACTCACCTGGTTACTTGGGTATTGGCCAAAGCTATGTCCATCTGACTCGATACACACGTCCTCTTTCTTATCAGGGTTGCAGCCCATCCCATCTATGATAGGGCGAGGGATGGGGTACACCCTGCTAACACAGAGAGGCAGACAACCTATGGTTATTTAGAATCACCAGTTAACCTAACCTCACCAACTGCATGTCTTTGGACTGTGGGAGGAAACCAGAGAACCTGGATAGCCTACACAAACACGGGGAGAACGTGCAAACTCCACAGCAAGGTGGTGGAGTCGAACGCAAGACTTTTTTGCTGTGAGGCACCAGATTCTTCCCGTGGTCCTGGCGTATAATTTTAACACGTTTTGTCATGCTGACAGAGGAGACTCAGAGCAGAATGGGCAGGTGTGAGTTTCCAGCACAACAATCATAACAGAAAACTTACATACTACAAAACAATAGAATCAGAGCAAATTTAGGAGCAATTATATAGTTGTGAATTCCCAAATATTTAGGGTATTAACAATCTCAGTATTCTCAGTATTAGTATCCACTTTTTCTTAAGCTTCTCAGAGTCACGTATCATCTTTTCTTCTCACCTTGAATTTTATAATTTGATTGTGGAATAACTCGAAAGTGTCTCTTCCTAACATAAGAGAGATTTGAAATGATAGGACATTAGAGAACTTCACGTTTCCATGAACCACTGAAGAAGTTAGATTTGAGGATCCCTGTACCAGCCCGTGCTGCTGTGGGGGTGTTGGATAAAAAGAGAGCGAGCGAGTGAGAGACAGAGAAAGGTCAGTGCATTTTTTCAAAATGAGCACTGAGTCACAGTGGACATCTCGACCTAAAGGGTTTTTGGCTCATTTTTGTTTTATTTGCACATTAGTGTTTTTTTAAAGCAACGTGTGTATGTTTTTGTACATGTATGTGATTAGACAGCTGGCAACAAGCATCTGATGTATGTGTGTACCCGCATGTGTGTCTACTAGTTCTTAATCCGCCTCTTCAAAGTGACAGCCCACTCAGTGGAATAAAGAAAGGGGGTGGCTGGCTTGTCGGTTTGGTTGTTGGCTGCTGTTTTTCCTCCACTT